AATAAATTTCTGGTTCAAGTCGCCTAGTCTGTGTGGTACTTTGTTACGGCATCCCTAGGAAACAAAAATATTAACCTTACTTTCTCTAAATGTGTTCATCAGTAAGTAATATCTGGGAGATGCTGTGCTCTGTGCTAAAGTGCATAAGGGAATAAAAGTCATGGCACAGAAGAGTAAATTCTTTGCCAATCTCCCCTCTATGCTGTGGTGTTTTACCTTGTCTGGTTCCACTCCTGCAGTTTCAGTCCAATGAGAGCAGTAGCCATTTGAAAAACAGAATTTCCCCTCTCTTATTTTACTTCACTCTAAATGCCAAGTCATGAATTTCAAAGGGAAAACATTTGCCATGAGTAAATTTCCTGCACTTGCCTTTGCAAACCGGAAGGAAACACTGTTTGCCCACTATTACGCTCACACAACAGGATTTATCTGTCTGCAGTTCGTTGCCTAGTTTCAAAGGTGGTTGCTTCATTATTCTAAACATTTTTTTGAGGTTTAGGGCCCACCATAAATTAGGTAGGTGTCTCAGTTAAAGCAAGGCTTGTTGGTTTAGATTTGGCAAAAGAGTTTTCTCGTGATGACAAGGGTGGTTTGAGAGCACATAGCTGATGAACTGGGTAAAAGACAAGGCTCTGGAGCAGTAATGAATCGGGAGCAGTATTACTGTTAGCAACTGATGCTAATTGGGAATTAGTATAATAATAATAATAATAATAATATATAATAAATTACCAACAACTTAGGCAAACCATCTGAAGGCACATGACTCTACTTAGCATCAGAGTTCATAATATATATGTCCATTGTATCTCAATAAAGCGGGAAACAATAACAGAGAAGACACCCGAAGTTGGAATTTAGCATTTTTGGATGGCTTGTCTGGGCCTGGAAGATGTTTGTTTTTTTCTAATTTTTTAGTAGTAATATTTACAACATGCCTGTATTGAAAATTTGTATGTCCAGATCGGAATAATGTCCTTCTTGAATTTCATAAACTTTGGAAGTGTTTATACTGGCGATGGAGGAAGAGAACTTTCTGAATGATACTGATACTGTTAAACATCAACCAGTAGGTGGCGAAACCTGGCAATAAAAAGCTTTTTGTTTGGCAGACTGGTGAATAAAGAAGGAAAACACAGGCCTCTCAGACTCTTGATACAATCTCTATTCCCTGCATCTTGTTCTTTTCCCTTCCTGGTGCTACCCGACCAGAATCCAGCCAGGCGAAGCTGGCCGAAGGGTAGCCCATTGGCTCTTAAAAGTGGAAGACATCCTGCCAGGTCAAAAGCCTATAGCGCATACAGGTGAAAGGTTGTTGGAAGGTGTCAGGCACAGATCTAGGATTCAAACCCAGGACTCCTGACTCAGGCCAGGGCTCTCGCCAGTACCCAGAGACAAACAGTTAATCCACACACTTCCTACCATACTTGCCCTCACGCTTTAAGATGGAATCTAATAACCAAATCTGAATGCAGGAATGGTTTCGCTCTTTCTGTACAAAGAAAATTCAGGACAGTCCTGTGGAATATATAATCTTAGGCAAGGACTGTAATGCAGACCTGTCCTGAGAATGTCTGCTGATGGCCGAGATGCCACAGAAGGAGTAAGTCTTAGAGAAACCTGTAAAGTGAGGCTCTATGGGAGCAAAGGAGGGGAAAAAATAAGGAGACTTTTCTTCCTCTGGGAATGGGAGATCCATTTCCTTCTGGGGGGGGGGGCTCCTTTGCAGAAGTACAATCTCCTCTCCAGCTCTGTTGTCACATTTCCTCACTCACATGCTGGGTCTCAGAAGCACTAAGGCTTTCAATTCCTCTTAAGTAATTTTGGGGGGTTAAAGCAAGGTTCTGAGCTGATCCTTAAACTATAATGTTGTGGCATTGGTACAGGTTTCTACTATTTCCCTGAGAACATGTATCCCGGGTCAGTCTAGGCCCAGTGTCTATCTCCAGGCCAGAACCTGTCCGCCACCCCCACCCCACCCCATTGCCATGTCACAGCCATTAGGAAGGAGGAAGGAGGACCTTCCTTCATTCCTTGCCTGGATAAGTTTGTACAAGGCACCCATTCCTACATGCAAGAGCTTGGCACATTGGTTGACTGGGTATGATAAATGAAATGAAAGTAATTTGTGCTTATTTTGCTTAAGAATACGTGCTTTGATTTTAGACTAGGAATGAGACAAAATCAAGATGATGCCAGAACATGTTTGTACACATTGCAGTGCTCATTTGTCACGTTTCTATGAGCACTGTAATCCAGCGTCCCTATATACTTGTGTTTGAGCCCTGTTAGGTAAGCCGCTGTGCTTTCAGTAAACACTTTTTTTCTTGGCACTTTATTTGTCAAAGACTTTTAGAGACAGAAAATAGTTAAACATGCACAACTCGTTTGTCCTCTTGTGCCTTTTCTCCTAGGGGCTATTCATGCTGATGAATGAACGAGTGTGTGTGCTTGTGTGTACAATGTATGTGTATGTAGTGTGTGTGTGTGTGTGTGTGTGTGTGTGTGTGTGTGTAGATAAATTTTCTGAGGCAGGAGGTGCAGCCATCTAGGATTGGCTGCGGCGCGACCCCAGAAGCCTTGGGAAACCGACCCACGCTGGTGTTAGACCTGTAGTCCCAAAGTCACCCCTTGAGACTTAAAGGCCCAGCCCCAACCGTCGGGGGCACAGGAAAAACATTTGCTTAGCCATCTTGGGAAGTTCCCCTGATATCTTTTGACTGGCTCCCTCGAGACTGGCTATGGCAGAGCCATGTCTGGCCTTTAGTCACGACATTTGGGTGCGTCCTACCTGCACACCTAGGAAGCGGACTTGAAAGTAAACACTCCTCCTGGGGCTTCCCTTTGCCTCTCTTCACGGTTGCTGAGGGCCCATTGCTGGGGGCAGCAGGGGCCTGGTCTTCTCCTGGCAGCTGCCAGCGAGTAGGTACTCCAGCGATGTGAACGCACGCCACACACACACAGACCACCACACACTCGGTTGAGCGGTCAGCAGTTCCGGCCCTCACACACACCACGCACACAATTAGGGCTGTAAGGTTGAAATGATTCCCGGCGTTTATTACACATCATTACACACGGGGAGGCGATAGCAGCGCGCGCGCGCATGCAGCACACACACACACACACACACACACACACACACACACGATTAAAGGGTTTGAAGGATCCCCGGCGCTGGCGTCCTCGGCGCACTCATTCGGCCGCCCGCGCGGTATCCCCTGGCGCCTCACCGCTGCGGCCCCCCCCGCGCTTGCCGGGTCCGGGTTGCAGTGGGCTCGAGAGGGCCCCGCACACCCATCGCGCCGCCGCCGCGCGGGAGGCCTGCGTTGCCTGCGCCACCCACCGCCGGCCGGGCGGCGGAGCGGAGCGGGGATGGGCTGGGCGGGCGGGGCATCGCGGGCGCGCGCCTCCTCCCGGTCAGCGGCCCTGCGCGCCATGTGTCCCGAGTGGGCGCGCTGCCCCGGCCCGGTCATGGCTCCTTTAACCCGGGAAGGGGAGGGGGCGGAGGGGCGGCGGGATATTCGCGGAGGGCTCCTTTTCTTTCTTCTTTTTGAATGAACCGTGACGCCGCACATGAACCGGTCGGTTAGAGAATGAAGCGAAGAGGCCAGGTCTCCCCCTGCCCCGCGCCGCCTCTTCCCTCCCCGCCCCCCCGCCTGCTGCGCCTCCCGCCCGCCGCCTCGGCTCTGCCGAGCCGCCGCCGCCGCCGCCGCTGCCAGCGAAGGTGCCGGGCGCCGGCCCCAGCCGGCGGCCGTCATCGCCCAGAGCGGTGCGCGGCGGAGGCGCGGAGGGGGCGGCTGCCGCCGCTGCTGCCGCCGCGCAGGAGCAGAGGAGGAGAGAAAGGGTGCGCAGCCCGGAGGCGGGGTGCGCCAGGGGTGCAGTGAAGAGGGGGTCCAGGGGAGGTCTCGCAGTCATCCTTAGGAAAAGAGGAAAAATACTTCCACCGCCGCCTTCTCCCCACCCCGCCGCTGCACCACACACAGCGCGCGGGCTTTCGCGCTCGGCACCGGCGGGCCGGGCGCGTCCTGCCTTCATTTATCAAGCAGCTTTTCGAAAATGCATTTGCTGGTCGGAGTTTAATCCGAAGAGGATTCCGCCCCCGTGCCCGCCTGTCCACTGCCCTGCCCCCGTCCGTCTCCCGTGGAGGCGTGAAGGGTCCCGCGGACAGATCCATAAACAGCCCGCGCGGCGCGCGTGCGTGTAAATTGCCGAGAGGGGGAATGGTGACTTCTGCCAGTGCCGGACTGAAAATTGTAATCATCTGCTGCCGCTGCCTTTTTCCGTGCTCTTGAGCGCCTCTCCGGTCGGGATTTCGGTGGATTGACATTTCTGTGAAGAGAAGTCTGGAACTGACTGGAAATTCTCCCATTTGTTCCCATACTGCACTTCACCCCGACTCCTGGGTCCATTTGAAGTTTCAGAGTTGAAAGCTATATATACCTGGAGAGTTCCTGAGATCGACGGAATCTTTGTTCTTACGCATTTGTTTTATTTTCACAAAAAGGAAAACTTGACAGAGGATCATGCTGTCCTTAAAAAAAATACAAGTAAGTTCTTGCACAGAAATGGGCTTAGTTGTAACTTTTCAATGGAATACCTTTTGAGATTTAACTTTAAGGCGTTCGAGTGAGTTACAGGCAGTTTAATACATTCTTTTTCAGCCGTGTAACTTGCGGTGGTTCGGCTTCCACCAGTGTTTAAAAGTGAAAGTGCACCTGATTTTTGGACTTAGTTTTTGAGTTTTTTTTTTTTAACCTTTCAGCATCACAGAGGAAAGGACTGATATTAATACACATCATTACCAGCCTCATGCAATAAAGATCCGAAGGAATTTAAGTGGGTACTCTCCTGCATCTCATGCCAAGAGGGAACAGAATCAAGTGTTCCAGATTGAAGACACCCCTCATCCAAGAATGCGAAGCACATCCAGTCATTGACATAACTATTCTTTCGGGAGAGGTGCTGTCGGTCCCCGGAAGCTGCTTTTCCGGGGCAGGATGGCGCACGCTGGAGAACAGGGTATGATAACCCGGGAGATAGCGTCATGCGAAGTACATCCACCATAAGCTGTCGCAGAGGGGCTACGGCGGGATGCCGGGGACGCGGGCGCCGCGGTTCCCGCCGCCCCCTGCGCCGGGCATCTTCTTCCCAGCCCGGCGCACCCCGTGCCCGCCAGACCTCCCGCTGCTGCCCCCCCGGTCGCCCCCGCCGCCGCCGCCGCCGCCGGTGGTCTGGTGCTTCAGTCTTCTGTGCCACCTGTGGTCCACCTGACCCTGCGCCAGGCCGACGATGACTTCTCCCGTCGCTACCGCCGCGACTTCGCGGAGATGTCCAGCCAGCTGCACCTGACACCCTTTACCGCAAGGGGACGCTTTGCCACGGTGGTGGAGGAGCTCTTCAGGGATGGAGTGAACTGGGGGAGGATTGTGGCCTTCTTTGAGTTCGGTGGGGTCATGTGTGTGGAGAGCGTCAACCGAGAGATGTCGCCCCTGGAGGACAACATCGCCCTGTGGATGACTGAGTACCTGAACCGGCACCTGCACACCTGGATCCAAGACAACGGAGGCTGGGTAGGTGCATGTCCGCTTGAATGTGGGCTGGACGTTACTGATCTGAGGCTGAGAATCATGGCTGAGTGTGGGTGGGCTTTTGGGCCAAGGGCAGGCAGGCTGATGAGCCAGTGAAATAAAGTCAGATTGCCCGCCCCCGCCCTGCCCGGTAAAGAGCTCTCTCCCCGCCAACCCTACTCTTGATGATCCCTTTTGGCCAAAAGTGGTTTTTCCTCGCTTGCCATCCGTTGAGGTTTAAAGACCCAGCATTTGCAATCCGGTGGGAGCTCGGGGTAAATGGTATGCCTTCAGGGTTTCTCAAACCGGGGGCCCAAGTATCCTCGCCCCCACCCGGGAGACTACTCATGAACTAGACATCAGGTTGGGTTGGCAGTCCGCATCCTGGCCAAGTTCCCCTGGGGGTTTGTGATTTGTACTAAAATTGGAGAACCACCCAATTAGAAGAACAGACCTCACCAGAGGACTAAGGGCATGCCTTTTCTGACTCACTTGGTAAAATCTGCCCAACGAGGAAATCTGACGTAGCCCCCTTCCCTGGAAAACTTAGCTGTGTTTGTAAGGAGGTAAGCTGGCTTTCCAAAAGTCCGGGAACTTCATCCCGCGGCGTGTGTGCGGTCATTCCCACTGGGCACAGCTGAGTGTCTTCAAGAACACCGGGCTAAGGAAACCTTATCTCATCGGTGACACGGTGTGTCCTGGCCACATGTTTTTTGTTCTGTTTCCATAACCGGTGTACGATTTTAAAGTTTACTATAATTGTAGTATTTTTACTTTTCACGGGCTAGAGTCCGCATCCTTTGGTGGTCTCCTCTCCTGAAAAAACTTGCGTCTACGATATCCATAAAAGTGTAGAGGATTTGTGTGTGTGATTCTCTGGGGGAGGGGTCCAGATCCTAAGACTGAAGAATTGTCATTGAGATCTACATCTTCTATCTAAAATTACGAATTTAGGAAAAAAGCAAAAGGAGTGATTCTTGTCTAAAAATTGTTTCGGGCTTTTTGTTTTAACTTGAAGAACGATTTATGAGAAAGGATGCAACTCCGTGCTTCCTTGTATGTAGTCTCTAGGGAGAATTAGTGATATTATTTTATAGGACCTAACAGGAGCACAAAACCTAGAAGTGACTCCAAGTGGATTCAGTTTCAAGGAGCACATTACATATTTTACTACAGTTTACAAGTGTGCTAACATGAAGGCCAAGAAAAAAGAGAAAAAGCCAAGAAAAGTCGATGGCTGACATGAAAATCTGATCCTGCTTGGTCAAAGTTGACCAGGTATTGGTGCCACTGTTGAGTGTTTAAAAGTAAAAATATCCCCATTTAGATCTCTAAAATGTGAAATGCTCCTCATGAATTGTTTTGTCGAGATCCCATGTTGTCAGATCTTTAGTAATTCTGGAAGAATTCACTAAAGGGCCAAAGAATATTTTCTTAAATGTTTGGTTGAGTAGGTGGTTTTATTTTTAACCACCATCACCAAAAAGGTACAGAGTTCCAGACTCCAAAAGGATGGTTTTAAGACCAAAGTAAAACTGATTTGACAATTCTCTTCTGTATTTTTATGAAAAAATATTTCAAAAATTTCTTTCTGGCTGAAAGGAACCCAAGGTGGTAACTGTCATCTATTAAGTAATTTAATAAATAGAAAACAGAGCCATAGACATATGTTTATGATAGAGATTAAGAAATGACCTGGTCTTTGTTTTGTTGCATTGTAGTATATTAACGTCTCATACAACTGGGTTTTCATTTTAAGTGAAGGCTCACTTTTAACTCCTTTCGAAATAGAGTTTTCCTGGGAGAGCCTATCTTTGTGGTCAACAGGTATCTGAGATTGATAAACGTAGAGGCTATATTTTATGATGCCAAACCACAATGACATACCGTAGAAAGTGATAAAAAATACTTTGACAAAACCTCTTCCAGTACAAATAAATCATATAGAGGCACAAATAGCTGTTGATAAAATGCGTCGTTTTCAGGACAACATGTAGATGGATGGCTCTTTAGGAAAACAAGGGAATTTGGCAAAAAAAAAAAAAAGGGTATATGTCAGGAAATGTAATCATAAATGGACACTTTGGAATAAAAGTGCTAGCATTTGAGAGTTATAAATGATTTACATATCCTTTCATATTAAAATACTCTGAATACCAATGGTCAAGTTTCAGAAGAGAGCTAGTACATTCTTCTGACCTTTGACAATGACTCGTGTGGTTTCTAGGCCTCAGTGGATCAGATCCTCTGTTGCACATGTAATCATGGGGGCTTGAGATTTGAAGTCCCTTTTTCTCTTTGCTGCTCTTGACACAAAATCAGTCTTCTGAGATTAAGGAAAACTGTGTGTGTTTCATGTTCCATAACTTGGAGAAAGCGTCTTGGAATGATAGGCGTCTGAGAGATAGTCCCAGAAGCCTACAAATCAAATAAAGACTAAAGAAGAAATTGAGTTAGAGTGGAGTGTGGTTTTATTCCTAAGTCCGAATACGGCACCGTGTGGCAGCAGGACAGAGGGAGCACAAGACAGCATCGGTTCTGGGAAATGTCTGAGGCTCTGCTACTCCAGGTGTGGTTCACAGACCGACAGCAGGAGCATCACCTGGGAGACCGTCAGACGTGCAGAATCTCCATTCTCACCCCACAGCTAATGAGTCTGAATTGGTGGGTTCACGTGAGATAGATAGAGGCTTTCGGGTGCACGTGAAAATGAGAGACGTTGACTATTACCTACCATTGGTTCCTGGGGACATCTTTTGGGAAAAATGATAATCTGGGGTGGATCCTACAGCGTCCGATTCCAGTGGCCTCACAGGTTTCTAGTATTGCCTAGAATGCTGAGTATTTCCCAGATGTCCACTAGTGTGATCTGATCCTTGGAAGAAATAAGTTGGAACGAAAGAGAGGAGATAATTTACCGTAAGCTCAGTCTTCTCGAGAATGTTTTTCATGGTAGCTGTGCAGTTTGTATTGGCATTATTGGTCTCAATGAAGTGACATCGCTTTTCTATTCCGATCAAAGGCAGGTGATTTAGCTCTTGATAGCTTCATTAGTTATTATTTTACCCCCTCGTATAACATAGTTTGAGTTCTATAGGTGCATTGAGTGGCCCTCAGATTGCTTCAAGGGGAGGGGGCTCTTACAGTCAAAGCGTTGAGATACGGGAAAGTTGATGGTGAGTGAAACTGATATCTCCCTCCAGGCTGAGAAATGAGACAACATTTAGCTTCATGTCCCAGAAGAGAGTGAGGTGTGGGCTCCTAAAAGAAAGAGGGGGCTTAACAGGAGATTAGCTTCATTCTGTTGATGAGATGGTGGTGTTGTGACTTTTTCTTTTTTTTTTTTTTTTTTGTCTTCTGGTCTGTGTGGTTTAGGACGACAGGAACTTACTTCTCCACATCCAGTAGAGGTTAGCTTCCTTTTTATTAGTTGGTCAGCAGACAGTTTCTGCCTTCTGTGTGCAGTCCAAATCTACCAAAACATTTGATTAATTGGAAAGCAATACCATGCTCATGCCAGTGTGCAAAATACGTGAAAAAGCATCATTTATCTAGCGGCTGAGTATCAGCTGCTTATGGCCAAGTTGGCAGCAGAATGATAGGGATTAAAAATAGTCTGAAGATGATCCAGCCTTAAATAATATTTTTAATGATGAACTTTCCTTGGGAAAGTGTGTTTCTGCCTGCGAAGAATCACATGCTTCCCGGCAATAATTTACTTTGTAGAAAAAACTACATTATCGCCCCTCGAGTTTGCAAGTCACGTGCTGTTGAGTGATTATGTTTCGGGACCTTTGTAAAATTTTATGGTTCACTTAGTTCCCTTTTCTGTTTTAGGGCTTTTGTTGCTATTTAATGTCTGTTAAAAAAACGTGGCTTTCTTTTGTGAATCTTGTTACTTTTCGCTGTGCTTTCTAGTGAGAACTGATTGATCTTTTAGCAATCCTTGATGGAGCTGATACATTTCAGATTGCTTAAATGTCATTGAGCCACACAGCACATCAGGTAACAGAAAGCCACAATTTTTTTTTTTTTAAAGCAAACTCTTAAAGTCTTGCCTTACCTCTACTTCCAGTCCTAGTCAGCTTTTTGGAGGAAGGATAAAGTCACTCGTAAGGCAGGTGTGTGGGTGCTGTGTGTATTACTAGCAGTCGCTCCCAATCAGTTCACCCCACACCCATTGCTGAGGTCAGTCATCAGGTTTTAGCAATAGCTGATCAAGGCAGTATCTTAGCACAAGTGCATTTGTGCTGGAAAAACAACACTGTCTTTGTAGTGTACAAGTAGAAAGGTTTTCCCCCCAGAGATATATTGTATTTGAAGTTCAAAGGTTCCGTTAAACCTTTTTAAGGTAATCTAATATCACCTTATTCAGGTATAGCCATAACCTCGAAAGCTGGTCACCCTTTCCCCCAGCTACATACAGGAGACCACTCAGTGAATTTACTTCACTCCGAAGCTTTTCTTTCATTCTCCTTGGTTTGATTCAAACAATATTAGCGTTTGACATCTAAACAGGATTAACACTGAAAATCATCCAAGGACTAAGACAATTGTTGGACAGACATGATTGCAAGGCTTTATGTGCCTGGCCCTGGGTTGGGTTGAGGACACAGGAAAGAGAGCTTTACCTCTGCCCTGGATGACCTCACAGGCTCGTGTTGCAGGTGTCTAAGTAAACTCATAGATACACGCAGCCCTATAAACACGATCCCGGATTCTAGGATTTAGAGAGAAAAAGGAAAAAACAAACCAACATATATTATTCTGCATACACTTCAGTCATTGTCTAAAAAAGTTACTTCTAACTTTTAACAACCATATGGCTGTTCACGTGTACATTAGGATTTAAATAGGAGGAGAAATGTAGATAATTTAAAAAATACAACACAAACACTTAAGAATACTGAAAGGCGGGGGGGGG